GTACGCGGGCCTCTCACTGCGGTGGCCTCTCCCATTGCAGAGCACAGGCCCCAGACGCTCAGGCTCAGCGGCCATGGCTCACGGGACCAGCCACTCCGCGGCATGTGGGATCTTCCCAGACCGGGGCACGAACCCTTGTCCCCTGCATCAGCAGGCGGACTCTCAACCACTGCGCCACCAGGGAAGCCCTGGCAGTTCTTTTTAAGTGCTTTTACATAGGAATTTGAATTTATTACCATGCCCGTATTCACTTTTAAGTAAAACTGACTACTCTGTGGACAAACATGTTTTCTATCACATGACAGCTCCACACCATGCAATCCCACCACAGCTGATTGGACCTAGTGAGAGCATTTGGCTCAAAAGTAGCCAATTCACTGGTAACAAATGACAAACAATCCGACATTCCCACAAGTTGGACCAAAGAGATTGTCTCGGGAATCTTAGCTTAAAGAGAGACAGAGACAGAGACACAGAGGGAGGGAATGAGCCAATTAACAGAGAGAGCTGGAACTAAAAAACTGATATAAAAAGTATTCATGGGGCTTCCCTGGTGGCGAAGGGGTTGAGAGTCTGCCTGCCGATGCAAGCGACACGGGCTCCTGCCCTGGTCTGGGAAGATCCCACATGCCATGGAGCGGCTGGGCCCGTGAGCCATGGCCGGTGAGCCTGTGCGTCTGGAGCCTGCGCTCCACAACAGGAGAGGCCACAACAGTGAGAGGCCTGTGTACCGCAAAAGAAAAAAAAGTATTCACAATAGGGGTGACCACATAATTTACCACCCAAACTGAGATACTTTTGAAAATGAAAGAGGATATGAAAAAATATTAAAATTATGCAGATGTAATTACTGGAAATTATGAAGGTGTTACCAAAAATAGAATTATAGATTTATTCCACACAATAGGTTACAAAACCACCATAGTAGGAACATTCAGATGTCATTGATGGGCTTTATGCCAGGACTACTCAGCCTCTATTTTCTGCACTTAATTCACAGATCTCACCTATAATTTCCTAAATATCTCAAAGGCCTGATGACAACTTTGTGCAACTCACAGGCTCAGGCCACAGCACAACCAGTTGATAGAACAAATGTCTGGCAGAGGCAGAGCTGGAATACTTCTCCTATAGCCAGCCAGGCCAGAGGGTTAGCTGTAGTTGTCCCTAGGAAAGCACATTCTTTATTTTATCAGTGAGCACCCTACATACTGCCCTTGAAAAAGAGGTGTTGGGACTTCCCTGGTGGTCCAGTGGTTAAAACCAGGTTCAATCCCTGGTCAGGGAACTAAGATCCCACATGCCGCGTGACATGGCCAAAAAAATGAAAAAATTTTTTTAAAATATATAGAAAAAGGACAGAGTGTGTTAGTTATGTCACATGTAATATAAGAGGTCTGGAAAAGAGGAAGATTATCGAGGACTTTTTTCAGGTCTAACCATGGCTTTAAATGACATTTACTTCAATGCACTGGAATCTCATGTTTTATCAGACAAGACCATGGTAAAGCTGAAAGTATAAAATAAAGCTCTGCCAAATCTACCCAGGCTTATCTTATTGGGATTTATTGAGAACATTTCATTAAAAATGAAAAATTCAGGACAAATGCTCAACCAGAAGGGATGCCAGGATAAGAGATATAAAACAGGCCATGCACAGTGGACATCTGATCCCAATACAGTGGCAGAGTGCAAATCAAAAAGTTATGAATTACAGAGCAGATGCCCACAGTGATGCAGAGATATAAGAATGTGTGAGACCGTGAGAACACTGAAAGGATAGAGAGAGCAACTTGTTCCTAGAGTTGTTCCTTGCCAGATTCTACTTTCACTCCATGCATAACTTTATAATTCGCCTCCATTTTCCTGAGGTAGCTTGAATAGGTCTTGGTTTAAGAACAAAAGAACCAGGCTTACCTGGTGGCACAGTGGTTGAGAGTCCACCTGCCGATGCAGGGGACACAGATTCGTGCCCCAGTCCGGGAAGATCCCACATGCCGCGGAGCAGCTGGGCCCGTGAGCCATGGCCGCTGAGCCTGCGCGTCTGGAGCCTGTGCTCTGCAACGGGAGAGGCCACAGCACTGAGAGGCCCGCATATAGAATAAAAAAAAAAAAAAAAAGAACCCAGTTACCGCAGACCACCACTTGGAGTAGTTAGAATTCTTTTGGTTACAAGCAACAGACTGGCTGAGGTTAAAAGAGAATGTATTGGGTCACATAATTATACAACCCAGCTTCCAACAGTCTGGATCTAGACCTCACATGACAGCAGCAGGACTGGCTCTGCTTCCTCTGAACAGGCTCCACACTCAGGCTCCTGACCACATCTTTCAACAGTCCAGGCTCTCTCCTCATGGGCATAGCAGCTCTGAACCACCTATCGTTACCCCAGTGGACAGAGTCTGTGTTCTAGCATTTTTTGCCAAGGTCCTGAGGTTCGCTCTGATTGGATCAGCTTGGATCACTTCCTCAACTCTGAACTAACCATGATGCCCAAAGAGATAAGATAAGCTGGTTGACCTAAACCACACAAGGCCCTCCTCTGGCACCCCAGGTAGGTTTAATTCTATCTAAACCTCAGGAGACAGACCCTGGCTAGTCATCCACCAAAGGGGCTCCCTTTTCCTCAGGGTCACAGTTTTCCTTGTGAAAAAGTGACTTAGTTCTAGCCAGTGGATTGGGAGCAAAAGCTAAGTACGCCTCCTCCAAGCTTGGCCCATAAAACCTCCCACGCATTCCTCAAAGTTGTTCTAAACATACTAAAAAGTTTTTCAATACCTAAATTAAACATTACTCTGAAATTTTTAACTTAAATAATTATAATTTGGGCTTCCCTGGTGGCAGAGTGGTTGAGAGTCCGCCTGCCGATGCAAGGGACACGGGTTCGTGCACCGGTCCAGGAAGATCCCACATGCCGCGGAGCAGCTGGGCCCGTGAGCCATGGCCGCTGAGCCTGTGCATCCGGAGCTTGTGCTCCACAATGGGAGAGGCCACAGCAGTGAGAGGCCCGCGTACCGCAAAAAAAAATAAGAAGAATTATAATTCATTAATTGAATTAGAAATTTAGTTCCTTGATTGCACAAGCCATGTATCAAGTGCTCAAAAGCTACGTGTGGCTCGTGCTACTCTGTTGGACAGTAAAGGTCTCTACAAATTCACTAGATATTCTCCCCCCAAAGCCCTCACTTTGCTTTGACTGTGATGTTGAAAAATAATGGGGCTGAATTTCCTATTTAATTGTCTCAATTCTCCTAGTATTCCTTTGGCAGTGCAGAACTGAGCCCAAGTGTCTGGGGGGGTTTTTTTTTTTTTTTTTTTTTTTTTTTTTTTTTTGGCCGTGCCACGCAGCTTATGGGGTCTCAGTTCCCTGACCAGGGATTGAACCTGCACCCCCAGCAGTCAAAGTGCAGAGTCCTAACCACTGGACCACCAGGGAATTCCCTCTGGTGCTAAATTTTGATCATTGCTCTAAGTATTCAGATAAGAGAATGTAATAAAATTTAGAATAAGTTCTAGATCCCTTTTTATCAGTATCTACACCAATATTCTACCATAATTGTTGTCTCTTGGTGTACAAATAAATAAAGGAGAAAAACAACTATCATTAAGGGTATGCCACATAATGTAGTAAAAAGGTGAGCTCACTAGAAGGTAAAAGAACTAAGTCTCAATGTCCCCTGTGCTGCCTATCATTTACTGCCTCTCAGCTCCAAATCATTGCCCTACCTGGGATGCTGGAATATTTCTCCCCTGCCTACAGCACGGTATTAACCTTTGTCAGTAGAGGGCGCTGTAGGAACACTGGGATAAGAGCATCCTTTCCTCCTGGTTGCTTCTTGCTCTTACAGTGCTAGGCTGGTGTGCAGGACACCAAGCTCTCCCCTAGCAAATGTAAGTGGCACCTCTGCAGATGGAATCCCAGTGAGTTCTAGGGTGCTAAAGCTAGCTTCTCTGCAGGAAGTTCAGCAACATCCTCCATGGGCAACTTCCCAGGAAGTTCTGAAGGAGACTTCAGCTGTACTCCTGCCCAGCAAATGGATTCCCAAGCGAGTTCCACGAGTTCCGCAGCTGGTTTCCTAGCAGGGAGTTCAGCAGCACCCCTCCTTAGGTAGCTTCCCAGGAAACTCATCAGCATCCCAGCAGGTAGTTTCCAGTCAGTCTAGGACTGTTGGCTCCCTAGCATGAGTATTTCCAGCTTAACAGCCTCAGCCCATAGCTCCAGAGTCAGTTACAAACCAATGCTGGCCCAGGCAAGCTGGTGAACTTCTCTCCCATTCAGTGGGCTATAACCACATCCTCTGCAATGAGCTCTGAGTCCCAGGCATGTGAAAGGTCTCCCCTTCCAAGTTAGCCCTTCCTTGGGTACTCTCTCAGAGCCCTAGCGTATATTTTAGAGTTCTTTTCTATCCCCCTTAGTAAAGTTCCTGTAAATAATAACTCTTTATAGGCAACTTCCTTGTTCAAATTACTGTTTGGTTTCTATCTCCTAATTGGACCTTAACTGATATACCTCCTTTGCAGTTCCTTGCCCAGCTGACAGTGGGCGAGATATCTCACATCTCCAGGCACTGTTGAGTCTTTCCTGGAATACAGAGCTATCGGATTAGCTCAAAGCTAGAAAGATACAGCTACAATCCTTGGAGATCCCTGAAATGCCAGTTGATACCTATTAAGAAGCAACATCACCATTTTTCACGCAATTATGAAAACCACTGACTTCTCAGAGAAAACACGAAAACTATCACAGTTCAGGTTTTGCTATAACCTGTGGAAGTAGAGAAATGTCTTGCTGAAGTAAATAGTGAATGAAATTCTGATATGGTCCCACTCACTATCCCATTGGCAGATTTTTCCCCATATTTAACATTGTTGAATAGCAGTTTCTGTGAATGTGGATCTCCAGAGACCATGAAAGCGCATGTAAGATGCACTCCACGCAAGACTATAGCTAATTTGAGTTTTCTTGTGCTACTGGAGGAGCTTGGCAAGGCAGGTGTCTTCAATTATTCATGCTGGCTTCCCTGTAAACCAAACCTTATTCAGGCTCTTAACCTGCCCACCTGGAAGCCCAGTGCTGTGGAAAACCTTTGTGAAGGCAACATGATATTCTCTGGGCTGTGTGACCTGCCTGGTCCTCAGGCCTCAGGCTTGGGGGACTCTGCTCTATGGGAATTTCAAACAGAAATCGTACTGGGGTAAAAATACCATGAAACTTTCAAGAACAGGAGTCATTAGATGAAGAAATCACACTGCTATCAAGCAGAGATCACCAGTTCTGATTCCTTAGTGTCCAGACTTGGCAGAAGAAGAAAAAGTGGAAGGAGATGAGGGGATGGGGTGGGTTTGGGGGGGATGCACTAACACCACCAAATCTGGCTGGTTTGAGCACTTAAAAGAAACCGGTAAATAAAAGAATCTCTGCTATTAAAATAAGAGAGTGGGCTTCCCTGGTGGCGCAGTGGTTGAAAGTCCACCTGCCGATGCAGGGGACGCGGGTTCGTGCCCCGGTCCGGGAAGATCCCACATGCCACGGAGCGGCTGGGCCCGCAAGCCATGGCCGCTGAGCCTGAGCGTCCGGAGCCTGTGCTCCGCAACGGGAGAGGCCACAGCAGCGAGAGGCCCGCGTACCGCAAAAAAATAAATAAATAGAGAGAAAGAGAGAGGGAGATTCATATCAGAAAACAGGAGAGCACTAGGACATCAAACCTAATCTAAATTAATTTTAAATAAAGTTGACCCTTGAAAAATGCAAGGGTTACAGGCACTGATACCCCATGCAGTCAAAAATCCATATATAACTTTGACTCCCCAAAAAACTTAACTACTAATAGGCTACTGTTGACAGGACACCTTACTGATAACATAAATTGTCGATTAACACATAGTTTGTAATTAATGTGTATTATATACTGTACTCTTACAATAAAGTAAGCTAGAGAAAAGAAAATGTAATTAAGAAAATCATATGGAAAAAAAACACATTTACAGTACTGTACTATGTTTAACAATACTTTACATCATCTCTTTACTGGATGAATTGTCTGTCAGTACCTACATAAATATTGTCTTATATGACACAAAACACTGCAAGTGATATACATATTACAAACACTAGACATCAAAAATGAAAAGATAATGTGAAAGAGAAACATATTGATTTGCAGGTATAAAGATTCATGCATTGCTAACAGCAATTAGAAGCAGCGATAAGAAGCAGCAATATGATTGCTTCATGGTAGCCTAGTGTGATCGACACAATGGCTTCATGGCAGCCTAGTCTATACACTAATGAAAGAATTGTTATAAAATTTTTATGGCATACAGTATGACAGTCATATTCATAATACAATATTGGAAACACTGTTATTTTTGAAACCACTTACTTGATGATAGGCTGATACAGTTTCTCCAGTCATGGTGGGGTGGGGAGGGAGGGAATGGGGGGAGGGAGG